GGCTATTTCGGTCGACCGAAATAAAGTTTTAGTCGACTGAAACTCACAGAAACTTTTCTAAAATCAATACAACTTGATTACATGCTTAAATATGAAATCTAGAAATATTATTATTTAATTTTCTTGTATTGGATTTGATTTTCTCGGTTGCTTATGATTTGTTATAAACATGTAGCATGGTAATATAATACTCTATAATATGGTCATTGACATATATTAAATTGAGAAAAATTGAACAAGTAATAAAGATTTTATTTAAAATTTATCTTGAATAAAATATTAAATCATGTGGCCTTAACTAGCTTAAAATCAATATGTGTTAGCATATTAAATTAGGTCTTAGCATGCTCTCCAACATAGTTGAAAGTAATTGGAGGTGTTTTGAAAATTAGTAATTATTAATTAATTTAATTAATTAATTTACCTTGAGTGCGCTATTCACTCTATTTGAATTCCGACTTGATATTCTTGATTTACATGCCATATAGCTTCACATATATTTGATTTAGATTATTCGGTTAGGTTTTGAAACCTTTTATATAACTAAATTCCATGTTTAAGATTTAATCCTCATGGTGATATACAACTTGGAATTGTATTGTGGCATACTAGAAAATTAAGCTTAGGTATAGTTGTTCACATATATTAAATTGGGATTAATTACATGAGAATTGCAACTTTTAATTTATATTTAACTTTAGTGAAAGTTTAATTCACATGGTCTTAAATTGAATGAAATAAACTTGTAATGTGATATTACATTAGTTCTTGGCATGTTTTCCAACATATGTTAATTTGAGAGTATTTGGTTAAGTTTGAAAATCAAGAGATTTTAATTAAAAGAATTAATTAAAATCTATTTTGTGGTCCCATTAGCTTAATTAAGGTTTTAACTTGATATTTGTATTGGCCATGACTTGTTTACTAGTATATATTAATTTGGGACTATTTGAAGTTGTTTTAGAACCTTGGGATTTAAATTAGCATGATTTAATTAAAGTTCTACCTTATTGTTGTATTTAAACTCATGAGCTTATGTTTTCAATATTGAATATATTATTATCTTGCGTAATGATTTGCACACTTCATATTTAACATCATTCATGTATGGCGTGTAACGAATCGTACACTGAAGATTCGACATTCATCATATCATATTAGTTGTTGATTTAGAGCATGTATTGTATAGGTTTCCAAATTTAGTTGTGCTTGGTAGATAGTTGATTATCATGCATATTCCTGTTGATATATGCGTTGTTGCACAATTTGTTGATTTTGGAAACTTGGGGATGTTGTTGTTTGACTATGGCTAGGACGTGGTTCTAGTATGGGGGATAGTCCCTCTATGTAGTCTAGTGCGCACATAGGGAGGTTACCCATGGGCTAGTAATCCTAAAGTAACTATGTTGTCGGTCTGACCCGGCGTGACGTCCAAGTATCCACTTTGTTTGATTTCACATTTTATTTTTAAGTTGATAACTAGATAATGTTGTAACTTGTTGTTCCTTATTTGTCGTTCCATTTTAAGTTACATGATGTTAACTTTGCGAAATTGTGCTTTATGCGTTGTATTGGAAGTTTCAATATTGGTTAAATTGCATCGATATTGAAAATTGTGTTTTGACGTTCTAATAAAGCTTAGGATTGATTCCATTAATTCATTTAGAACTTAGACGTTAGGTGGCATGAACCACTACTGTTATTTTGTGCTTTAGATTCTAAGTTGATGGCTTCGAAAAGTTATACCTTGTTGCATTGTATAACATGCTCTTTTGTTGTTGCATTGCATGGATAATGTGATTCTTGTTAACTTGTATTCAAATATGCTTTTGTCATGTTGTATGAATTACTCTAGACCTAGTTCAATTGTATTGAAAATGCAATTCATGTTAATCTATGCTCAAACATTCTTCTTGTCGTGTTCTTTGGATTATCCCAACCATGATTCGTTTCATACACGTATGTATATCATGATTCTTGTTGCTTAGACTCTAACGTAGCTTAGGATGCTCCCCGAGTCTCACTTGGACATAGACGTTAGGTGACATGAGCTCCTTTAACATGTTTCACCTTAAGGTGATAAAATTGTAAAATGCTAGGTCGATGCATGCTCATTTCCTACAAGTAGCTTTATGTTACTCACCCACGTAGTGGGGACATTTTTCAGGTATGAAGACTTGGTTTGTGGTGCTCATTGCTCCTTGGATGGCTTATAGTTTTTAAGTTTCCATTTTATGCAAGTGTTAGCATAAAATGCCTCTTTGTAACTTTATGTATCAAAATATGTATTATTTGATTCCATGTATGCAATGTGTACATGAGTACACTCTTTACGATGTATTTGACATGTATGAGATGAGGCCGGAGGCCAATGACATGTAATTTGTATCCTATGTAATTTTTGACTTCACGGAATATTATAAAAGTATTGAAAAATATTGAGTTTTTGCTTCACCATGTTTACATTGGGTGTGGGAATTCCATTTTGATTTTTCCATTAGCATTCTTTCACCATGTATGAAGTGTGGTCAAGGGTCAAACGGCATTTTGAAACCATCTCATGATTTTAAATTCCAAGTTTTCGTTCTAAACTTCGTTTTTGGCATTTTGGCCGTTAGGGGGTCATATTTTACATTGGCCATATTTTTGAGCCATGGACCATTGTAGCACATCTTACTAGGTAAGTTACGTTTGCCTGCATGGTTGATTCCTGGCAAAGCTTCTTCTTTTGTGAAATGAGCCTCCTACGGACTCATTTTACACTTTTGTTGCATAATCTGACCTAAGGGTATTTTGGGAATTTCTTTGGGAAATAAATTCCGTTCTTTACATGGTCACTTAGAAAATGTGATTTTAGGGGGGTTTTCTTCGTGTTTTTCCATAAAATGCCATCTTGGCATCAAAAATCGCATCCAAAGTTCAGCTCTCAGTTTTTAAATTTAGCAGCTTTTTGGACCCTCTGGACCAGTTTTCTTGGAGGGGAATTTTGGGCATTTCACAATGCGGTTTTTTTTTATTTTCCTCACGAGTCATGTTGAAAACTCAATTTTGAGGAGGTTTCTTCTTTGTGTTTTCCCAGAAAATGTCATCTAGGGCCTCAAAATCCTATTTTTCCCGGAAAAACCCCTGCTGCCAAAGTTTCTTGCTGCCCATTCTGCCGCCTTCACATCTAAACGGTTACGAGGGGTTTCGTAACCGGTTAGATCAGTGTGGGTAGTGTATATGTTGTGAATTTTGGCCTCCTAACCGGTTAGGAAGGTCTCCTAACCGGTTAGTTGTTCATGGGTTGCCTCTTTTTGACCTTTTTGCCCCTTCTTCTTCCATAAGTCATATCTTCTTCATCCGGACTCCGAATCAAGCGATTTTTGAGTCTAATTTCATTGATTTTTCATTGTCTTTCCAATGGTATGCTCGGTGGCACCCACTTTTAAGCTGAAAATGACAATTTTGCCCATAGGTTCAATCTTGTTCGTTTTTGAAACGTTACTTCCCCATTTGATTCCTTTGGGTTCCATGACCTCATTGAGGGTCATAATTGTGTCTTAGAGCCTTATTTTGTCTGTTTCTTCCATATTTTGGATCCATTATCGGGTCATCTTTTGGTTCATCACTGACACACCGGGTTGAAAAACTTGGGCTGTCACACTTACTTTGTCTATTTTTTTGATATTATTCTTCCGCGTTCGTTCTCATTGAGTTCCGTGACCTCATGGAAGGTCACTTTGGCGTCTTAGAGATGTATTGCATCTCTAGAGACTTGGTTTCTATTTTCACTTCCGCATTCGGGATCCGTTATCGGATCAAATTTCGATTCATCACAGGACGCACTGGTTTGAAAAACTAGGCCGTCACAGGTGGTATCAGAGTGTCCGAGTTTGAAAACCTTAAGACGACGGGTTTTGGGTGCATATCATGCTTTTGTTGCCATGCTCTATGTATTTAATTACTTTTGATAACATATCAGATGTGTTCGCAAGTTTATATACTTATGTGGACGTATATTTAGAAGTTTACTTTAACTGCCTAATCATGTTGTATGTGCTTGTCCGCCTTAGTACATCGTATATGCTTGTCGATCCAAGCATGTTGTATGTGCTTGTCTGCCTTAGCATACAGTATATGCATGTCGGCTTTAGTACATTGTATATGTTTGTCTGTCTTAGCATGTCATTTACGCTTATCTGCTTAGCATGTTGTATATGCTTGTTTGCTTTAGTATGTTATATGTGGTTGTTCATCTTAGCATGATTATATGCAGCACATCATCATGCTTTATGCCTTCTCCTGCATACACTGATATGCCTTATGTGATTTTTACTACTTGTGTAAGTATGTAATCCGCTGCTATATTGTATGGTAACTGTTTATTTTTATGTCTTGTTTTGACACTGCATGTTGTTCTAGCATGGTTGGTAGAGATTGATGATAGGGCATTATCTCTTAGGGTCTGTCGTATCCCTTGGATGCATTCTTGTTTTGCAGAATTTCTTCCTTGGATAGGAGAAATTCATTTTGTAAGGACCCACTACAAGGAAAAAGGCTTTTAACAACATTTGATGCAAGTCGTTATAGGGTTTTCACGACATACATACGCATGCTCTTACTGAACAAGCCATGAAAAGTTTATATTATTCATGGTGTGCTTTACAAGCCATTAATGCTAAAATGTGACATCGTTAATACGCACTTCTTTAATAGCGTGATTTGAGAGTCGTCTATACATGCACTAATGACACGCAGAGCATGTTGTGTTTATGTTTACCCTTTTAACGACTCGCTAATATTTTTATTTTAACAGTATGCATCGCATGTCGTCAAAAAGGGCTTTTTAAAAAAAATAAAATAAAATAAAAAATAAAAAATTATATTGAATCCCTTTTCTTTCTAATGGAACTAAGAATCTGTCTTGCACCTGTTTTCAATATGACAAATGATACATGTCTTTAATTTGAAAAAATAAGGCGCACATCATATCATATAACCACAAACAACATAACATGTATTAATAAAAATAACAAAAATCCATTACTTTTCATTAAACCAATAACATAAGTCTAGTACCGTATCCCAAAAAAATATATATTAAAGCCACTATGAATATTAAAAAAGTTCCGAGCCATCCAATATGATGACGTCAATAAGGAATAAAAACTAAACCACTAAATTCGAGAAGAAATAATCAATCTTTTGCAAAATAAGAACATAACCATCAATTTTGAACATATATTAGTTCCCCCTTGTTCGTACAATATCTTAACGATAACAATCGATCATTCAATCACATTCTGTAATAAAAAAATATATATATATAAAGTTTAGTAATTTAATTGTGTCACATAACGAACACATTAAAAAGCCTTAAAGAAGTAGGGGGGAGGAAAAGGCGAAGGAGAGGAAGCTAGAAAAGGTTCCTTTTGGTCAATAAGCTCACATTTGATAAGAGATGAAAAGCAAAAAAAATTCTTTCATACTAACTATTTAGATGGATAGTACATGGTATTTAAGAAATTTGTAAGCCAATAATAAGACCAGCCATGTAGAATGAAACAGAATACTAAACAACAAACTTGTTTATAATTTCACCATAGCTAATATGAGGTTTGTAAGAAAAAACTAGGGGAAAGGCTATTGATGACTATTCAATCTCTTTCTTCCCCAACTACTAAATTACAAGGGTGATTTCTCCTTTATACATTCCTATATACTTCTGTTCTAATAAATCTATTACTCAAGGATCTATTAGATCTATGTGAAAAACATCAGCAAGTAGAACTATCATGTTTTACTTGAAAATTCAGATGGCATATATACGTATTTACATAATTTTAAATATTTATATTTCGACTTAATACTGTCTTAAAAATTTTGTTGGCCTTCTATTCATGAAAGTTCATGTGTTAAATGTTCTTTTTTGTTTCAATTCTAATAAGTTGTCTTTTACACATTTCAAACTAAATTTGCTTCTTGAGGTTCATCTGAATGTCAAGAGTTTAATCCACTCTAACACACACTTGAGGTCTATACATAAATTTGAAAACATTGATATCCGATCATTTAAGTCCAAACGTATTTTGCAAGTTCAGATATTACAGTAATACTGTTGCAAAAAGCGATGGAGAATAACAAGATGGAATAAAAAATTTCAATGGAAGGCTGAAAAAACTACAAGAATCAATTTTTATGCGCTTGATAATCAAGTGTCTTATTTATTCTAAGAGAAAAGCAGATAACATACATGCCCGATGTCGTATCCTACTGCAACATCCTCAGCAATCACTTTTGAAAGAGCAAAAGCATCCCCAAAGCCCAAATTCACTTCTTGACCAGCCAAGGGATGAATAGTGTGTGCTGAATCACCAATAAGAACTACATGCGTTGATGCATAGTAAAGATAATGGAAACACCATTCTTCCTGAAACCAACTTGACCACTTTCGGTGGAACTTTAAAACACTCACTGGTTGATGATGTCACATTTGCTCTAAGCCAAGAAAATAGGTCTCCACCACCAAATAACCGAGACTGAGGATGAGGGCCATGCCCATAATCTAAAGCATTATTTACAGATTTCACAAGATCATCCTCACTCATTAATTTGCATACAGGCTATTGCCATCACTCAATTCCAGCTTTGCTAAAGAACCATGACTGTTCATTATTGTCCTTGATGATGTACTGTCCACCCTGTTGGATGAAGAACTTGGAGAGAAAGCCATTGATATTAATCTAGAAGGATTGATCGTCTTCTGGAAATCTGTGTTTTGATTATATTTAATTCAGTTAAAAAACAATATCAATATTGCAATAACAAAATATAATTCAGTAATGGAAGAACTATGGGATCGTTATTGAAGTTTCAGCAAGTAAAAGTCAATGCAAGCTATGATATCGTACATTACAAAATTTTCTCACACACACAATTACCCAAAGCACAATACCTCAGTTAGGGAAGAATGATTATATCTCACTAATTATCTACCATAGAGTAACAAACTAAAAAAAAAAAAACTAATTGACTATGTACTACCATTGCAGAAACCTAGCACCATTGATAAGCAACGAGTATCAGGTCAATATCCAAAAGCAAACCTCTAATAATTACAGCCAACAGACCATAGGTAAGCAAAAAAATCATTTTTCATGCACCATTTTGCAATAATTTTTAACACTATCCAGTAAGATGTAATAATAGAAAGGCATTAATCAAGCACGAAAATAAAGTTCTTTATCACTGATGTGACTTCTATAAGATTGTCCAAAATGAGAAATGAGAGAGAGAGAGAGAGAGAGCAAGCAGAGTCGAGTGGAGTTTCAAGCCTCAATCATAGGAATGGAGTAGTACCAATAATTTCATTTTTTGTATTCATATTCACACAATATAATTAACTGGGCTTCTAAATCCAAACAGTTTTTATATATATAGTTCTTTGAAATTAAGGATATCAAATAGGATATAAGGCATTATTAAAGAGGAGGTACATGGAGTATGCGAAGAACTACAATCCCTCTCAAATATGCGCAGTAACTCAAATATCCAAGACTGAGAGCACTCTTAAACTCACTGGACAATAAGTGAAATTGATTGATGGTAAACACTAATAACTCCGAAATCTCACCATCAGATGCAATTATCTCATAATCTAACTCACAAAATCAAAATTGAAAAAGAAGTAGAAAGTAAATAAAACTCACAAAGACTCCAAGACATCGTTAGGCTGTTACAGCTTCGTCAAAACCAATACTCTGAATGGTAGTGTTCAATGATTGTATAGATTAGGGATGAGTCGCTAGATTAGGGAGAAGTTACTGAAGAATTGAAATACAAAGCTTCATCAATTCTCTTATACATGAGTTTTAACAAAAAAAATCAAGATAACCCATCTCAGTCACAATTATAGCTCTAACTAGAAAATTCAAAATATTGTAGCCCATTCACAATTTTCCAAAAGCTTTGTAAACACATAAATGGACACATGTATATCAAGCAGTTTCAAAACCTCAGCCCCAATGATCATTCAACACAAAATAATGTATGGGTATATATCAAATATTATCTCAAGCTTCATAGAATTTTCAACATGGCAACAAGATATATACATCATTTCAGTTTAAATTTCACAGCCCTATTTCATTTCAAAAACATAGTCACATAGATATATCTACACCAAAATCATCTCACAGTTTTTATGAATTCAAATACAGTCCAGAATTTTTGATACAACTCAAGGCTATATATATATATAATCTGAAATTTAAAGGCACAAGAAGTTACAATTTAATTCAATTCCATTTAGAATTTCCAATTCAATTCATCATCAACCTCAATTTCAAAAGTCAGAGACAAGCCTTCACAGAATTTTTTTTAGAAAAATTTTCTCAACCACATTCAATCGTCATAGTCCATTCTCCATTACCATAGCCCATCCTCCTTTTTCACATCACAGACTTATACATTGACAGCCCTAATAAACACAACCACAAATATATATAGGAAATTCTAAATTCCCATTCCAAAATCAAACTCCAAAAATCAAATTTTAGGTTGAAGAGAGCTTACCCGAGAGAAAGATCAGAAAAATGAGAGAGAGAGAGACTCGGCCTGAAATTTTTAGCTGGAAAAGACGACTGGAACTGGAACTGTCATGGCTGGCGGCGAGATCTAGTTTCTCTTTAGCCAAGAATTGGCCAGAGAAAGCGAGACCGAGAAGAGAGGACAGAGCAGTGGCGGCGACCAAGAGATTTGGACGGAGAAGCTTGCGGCAGAGGGGGTTCGAACAGAAAGTGAAGGCTTGGTGATGGTGTGAGGATGTGGGTTGATGGTGGTGGTGCCTCGGCGTGCGACATAGAGAGATAGAGATAAAGAGAGAGGCTAGGGTTTTTTCAGAGAGAGAACAAATGTAGGCACGAAGGTGAAACGGAGAAGAGAAGAAAAATAAAAAGAAAAAGCATATAGAATGGAGGAGAGGAAACGATGTAATGAAGTGTAAGCCAGATCATGTTTTAGTGGGCTAGTGGTGGCAAAGTTTTTTGTTTGTTTAAGTAGCTGAGGGAAATAGAGTTTTAAAAAAAATTTAGTCCACCTTTTACGATATAAAAAATAAGTTGTTACAGTAAAGAATGCAAGTCTTTAAAAGAAATTTGAATGGACAAACTAGTTTAAGCTGTGAATATAAGTATGTTTTAATATTTAATGATTTACTTTAAAAATAAATGTTAAATTAATACTTATAAAGACTTACGTTTTAAGCATGTCGTCAATTGCAGGTTATTAAAAGATTTTTTTCTTATAGTGACCCACGACGGGAACCTTCTTATCCTTTGTGTCGGTTTGGGTATTTCGAGACCTTAGTCTGATGGTTGATGCGAGTAAGGCTCATGTGAGCATATAATTGGGCCAGAGAGACACCATTTCATTTCCTTTTCCTTTGTGGTTTCACGACGTGGTCAGGGAGTGTTCGGGGTGTTGGTATCATCTCTTGGGGTTCAGTGGTGACCTTGATATGATGATGTCATTGGGGTCTTGTTTCTAACATCATGGGATGATGAGTTGGGGTTGACTCGAGTCCTTCCATGGGGATTTGGGAGGTTTGTCTTCGTGAGCCTCAATGGCGAGGTTCTCGTGTCTTTTCTTCTTAGAGTAATGATTAGGGATTTGATAAGTGCGTTGACCTAGGATCTCTTCTTGTGTTGCCTTGGGTAGCTCATATGAGCTAAGGTTGGGGTATGAGTGGTTTCGTGTAATTAATTGCATACTCTCCCTTGTCATTTGAGACTTACGGTGTTGTTTTAGGGTTCCGTTACTCGTCGGCATCTTGAGTTGAATTCTCTGTTGATGTCTCGTAATGGTTAGTGTTGAAACTATCGGTTGCATCGTTGTTTCATTTTGTGTGGCTTTAGGATTCCACTTTGGGTATGAGCTAGTCCTAGAAAAGACTTATAAGCTCTTTGTTTCGGGAACCTTATGGGAGATGATTCTTTTCCTCCCGATGAGAGATTGGACCCATCCGGGTTTTTGTGGTTCACTTTCAGTGAGTTCATTCTTTTGAGAGATATTTCATCCCTTCTTGCTTTTGACTTGTGGGATTGTTATTTGCATAGTCCTTTTTACATGATTGTATGCCTTGTTGTTTTAAGCATGCCTTATAAACATGTTTAGGGAACATGACTATCTAGTAGTTATGTGATGACATAAATGATGTGTTTTCCATTTACTATATCTATTTAGCATGCTAACGTCATAGGCGATGTGTAGCGTGTCCTTAATGCTTGACCCATATGTGATAGGTAGCATATTTGATTGCCCTTGTACACTATGTGTTTAGTTTTATGGTGCGATCTGGTTCATATGATTTGATTTTATGAGCCGTGATATGGTCACCTTATATATGTATGTTTTATGACTAATTATTTTATTTAGTTCAATCTTTTATCATTCATGTACTGTGTGACCTTGGTTGTCGAGATTGTGTGTGTGAGCTTAATCCGGTATCTTAATTCCTAGGCATAGCCTTGTAGGTCAGCTTTAAGACGATGTGAAGGTTTTTGGGTTGATTGCCTTGTTGGAAGTCATTATGAGTAGGGCGATGGTGATGTTATTTGATTTCATAAAGTCTGATCCATTGGCTTGGGGGCATAGACTCGCCAGGCTTTGGATTCGTGAATGGTATGGTTGATAGCAGTGTTTTGAGACTTGGGGGTTGTCAATTTTCTTATATTAAGGATTTAAGGCCTTAAGCATAGCGGTACCTATGACATTGTTGTTAGAGTTTTGGGATTGGCCAGGATGGTCCGGCAAGACATCTTTGGACCGTATCTCAACTCTCACAAAATGCATGGTCTCCGTAGTGCTTTTGGTAATGATCGTTTTTGACATTGATGTCATTTGTATTGATAGGTTTCACGGGTAAGCTTGTTGGGGGCAGGTGATAAATTAGGCCTTTATATTGACATGCTACCATACAAGTTGTGTGTGGTGTGCGAGTGCTAGTTTTTGTCGATGCTACATTGTATTATCTAACTAGTAATGCAAGTGTAGGCAGGCACTAAACGCTATCAATGCTAGCACACCTTGAGTGTGTTGTAGGCTGGTTCTAGTCGCTATTGGTGCTGCTATGTTGCTTCTGGTCGTGTTCCTTGTTTCAACGTGTAGTTACCTGGGTCTCCTTGGGTCATCAACGTTAGGTTAGTATGTCAATTCATTTGGAGAGGTGTCTCACGATTCGCGGTTACGTGTCTCTTTATGGATCTTGAGGCTTCTGGAGTTGTCCTTTATTACTTTATGATCCTTTCCTCTATGTGACCTTGTGTTTAGTCCTTGTTCGGTTCTTCTGGGGATGTTCCTAATTTCGGGGCTGAAATTTCCTTTAGGAGGGTAGGTTGTAATGACCCGGTCATTTTCCTTCCTTTTCTTTTTCTCAAATTTTATGGATAAATTTTTGCCATGGATTTTTCTTTTCCGAGTTCAGTTTCTCGTCACTTGGTCTTGTCTCGAGTGCTCAGGAATGGTTTTCGAGACTCCTTCCTTTGGATTGACAACTTCCTTGTGAGGACCGCGTCATTTCCACATTTTCTTTTTCGACACTATTCACTTTTCGTCTTTTTCCCCATTTGTCACTTTTTGGCGTAACCTCACTTTTCATGTTCGGAGTTGATTTTTGACTTCACGAGTTTTCATTTCAGTTGATTTCCTCAAAACGCATACCTTTACTTTTGGAGAAAAACTTGCCGGTTGTTTTTTTTCCTATAGGGGCGTGGATGAAAGGATTCTTTAGAAACATTTTTGTTTCTTGGAGTGTTTTTCATAAATATCTTTTAAAGATATTTTGATTCGGGATTTTTAAGAAAATATCTTTTTCATTCTGGCTAGTTGTGTAGTTTTTCCCTTTTGTAGGGGCTATTGTGCAATTAATGAAAGTTATTGCAAAATGCCTCGTTTTGAGTTTGAATCCTCATACGGGATTCATTTTCACTTTTTGTCGATTCGCACACTCTTAGAATTATCTTCTGGTCATTTTCCCCAGTTTTAGGGTTTTTGACCCAAGTTGCCGCCGAACTTGCTCGGGGCATATGTTTCTGCTCTGAACTCGATTTTCGATGTCGTTTCTTTTGTTATTCATTTTTTTCTAATTTCGATCCTTTTTCATTCACAGTGTTTTGCCGTTTGAGCGCGCCTGCACAGATTTCACTTTTCGGGACCCAGCGAGACCCCGTTCGGGGCACTTTTTGAGATTTTCTATAAATAGGGGGTTTGAAAAATTAAAACATTTCATTTTCTCTTCTTCTCCACTACTGCAGACCTGGTTCTTCAGCCCTAAAGGGGCTGCCACTCTTCTTCTCTCAAATCAACCCTCTTCCTCTTTGATTTTTGCCTCGATGATTAATACTTTATTGTCGAGCTTGGCGAGATTTTCATTTCCCCACTAATAGAATCCGATTTCGTCCATTTTTTGAGTTCGGATTTGAGGTCAAGTTTGGTTTTTAGTGTTGCCTCAAGGGGGAAGGTTTCTTCCCTCGTTGTCCCCGATAAAACCCCGAAGTATCGTCGGATTTAGAACGGTTTCCTTTTGGTGGCTTTTGAGATTTTCATCTCAAATTGAGGTAGGGAATGTTATAGGATTCAATTCTTGATGAATTACATGTTTTTGATACTTATACAACTTGTATGCATGCCTTTGTTCAAAAGCTAGAATTTAGTTTAATTATTTTCTTTGTCTAAGATTTAATTCACATGGTTGTATATGTAATGGAATTAAATTGTGTCATGCTATTAAATTAAGACTTGATATGCTCATTAACATATATTAAATTGAGAATATTTGAATAAGTATTGAAACTTTTATTTAATTATTTTATAGTATGAAATTTTAATTCACATGGTTGTATCTAGCATTGAATTGACTTGTAATGTGATATTAAATTAATCCTTGGTATGATCTTCAACATATGTGAATTTGAGAATATTTGGAGTTGTTTTAAAATCTAGAAAAAATTAATCAATTAAATTAATTAATTTTATTTTAAGTATCCTATTCACTTAATTGGATTTTTAACTTGATATTGTTGATGAGCTTGGCAGGTTCTATCACATATATTAAATTGAGAATATTTGGATTAGTTTTGAGAACTTTATTTAATTATTTTCTTGGCATTGAGTTTAATTTACCTAGTTGTAACTAGTGTAGAATTAACTTGTAAAATGATTTTAAATTAAGCCTTGATATGTTCATGAACATATATTTAACTGAGAATATTTGAATGAGTCTTGAATACTTTATTTAATTATTTTCTTGTATGAAATTTAATTCACCTAGTTGTACCTGGTGTAGAATTAACTTGTATCATGATATTAAATTACGCCTTGATATGACCTTTGACATATATTATTTGTAGAACTTTTGGTGTTGCTTTGTAATCTTGAGAATTTAATTATTTAATTTAATTAAATTCCATTTTTATGCTTCCATTGAGGTAATTAGGTATTGATGTTGTATTCTTGCTTAATTTATAATTTGGAACTTGTTGTATGATTACATGATAGTATTCCATTAGTTGAAATTATAATTTAACTTGTCAGTATACACATTATACTTATATGCCATTGTAGCTTGAATGCCTAGGGCATATCTTGTATGTATTCCATAACTTGGTTGTCATGGTAATTGATATTGTGCATTGTATATATGTGATATACTTGTTGCACAATTTGATAATTTTAGGAAAGCTTTTCTAGACATTGGAATATGTTACGGCTAGGGCATGGCTATAGTAAGGGGGATAGGAGTTCCCTCTATAACATATAGTGCGCACTAGGTATTACCTTGTGGGCTAGTAACCCAGAATCACTTGCTTGGTCATTGAGACCTTATGTCCTTTGTCTTTCCGCCATTTTTTAATTTCGCATTCAATTCCTAGTTGTAATCGTTGATTACTTTTAACTTGTGTTTTGGTGCATGATATTTCATTTTGTTTAGTATACTTGAGTTTGTATACTTGTACGCTATGAATGTTAATATTGCTTAGTATACTAAGGAATGT